TTTTTTAAATAAAAAAAAGTTTAATTTTGAACCCTTTGGACCTTAATGTGGACCGACCATGACCCAAATCAAAAATCTAAAAACACGCTTACATTCAGCATATCAAATAATTGTTTTTGTCAGGCACTTTTTGGTCCCTAATTCCTAAACAGCTACTACAATAACCCCTAAATTAAACCCAACTTTCCTATTGTGGTATAGAACCTTGTGCTAAAATTGAATAGAGATCCATACACTTATACTCAGTTATTGACCGCAAACCAGAAAAAATAGTTGTTTTCGGCCCCTTTTCGACCCCTCATTATTAAACGGTATGGGCCATGACCCTCCAAAAATCAATCAAAACTTTCCTATCGATTTATGGAACCTTGTGGTAAAATTTTATAGAAATCTATACTCTTATACACCAATTATTTTCCTGAAACATGAAAAATGCCTGTTTTTGGCTCCTAATTACTAAACAGCTACGACAATAACCCCCCAAAATAAATCCCAACCTTCCTATTTGTGGTATGGAACAATGTGCTCAAATTTAATAGAGATCCATACACTTATACTCAAGTTATTGTCTGTGAACCTGACAAAAAATTGTTTTTGTTAGGCCCTTTTCGACCCTTATTCCTAAACAGCTATGACAACAACCCCCAAAATTAATCACAACCTTCCTACTGTGGTGTGGAACCTTGTGTTAAAATTTTGACCAGAGAAATATCTCTTATACTCAAGTTATTGTCTTAAAACCAGACAAATAATTGTTTTAGCCCCTTTCTGGCCCCTAATTACAAAACAGCTATGTCAATAACCCCCAAAATCAATCCCAACCCTCCTATCGTGGTATGGAACCTTGTGCTAAAATTTCTGACACATCCATACACTTATACTAAAGTTATTGTCTGCGAACCAATTTATTTTCCATGAACCAGTAAAACTGACATTGTTTAGTCCCTTTTTACAAAACCGCTAGGACAATAGCCCCCCTCCCTCCAAAAAAACCCAATCCCAACCATCCTTTAGTGGTACGGAACCTTGTGCTAAAATTTCATAGAGATCACAAGTTATTGTCTGCGAACCAAAATGTCTTTAGACGCAGACGCAGACAACACCATAACATAATACGAACGCAGTAAATTTGCGGTCGTATGAAACAGTATTTTCTGCATTGCCTTTTGATATTTTTGCAATGTTACCAAACATAAAAAGTACACTAATTCCATTGGTCAGAAACCAATTTTCAATCTGTTCATATAATATCTGTGTATGTTCACAATCCCAAATAAATGTTCTAATGTTTCAATTTCTCTATTACAAAATGTACAACTTGGGTTATCATAAATCTTAATTTTATGAAGAAATTTGTTTGTAGCTATTAAGATTCGATGATTGAATCTGTACTGCAGCCACTGTAGCTTGGTATTTTTTGTGACAACAAATGGCAGTTTATAAATTCTTTTCCAATGATTTTTATCAAAGCCAAAATTTTTAGTTCATCTTAACTGACTAGTGGGAACACTTTTATTTGTATTTAAAACCAACAACATATCTTTAGATCCTTTTGAATTTTTAACAAGTCTTTTAATGACGGATGAAATAAAAGGTTGTTCTAATTTGTGATTTTTTTCCCAAACATGATTTTGATGCTTTATGTACAGCAGATATAATACTATTATATCTCATGAAATTCGCATTTATCTGATATATTTCTTCTAATTTTTGAAGAGAGAAAAAAGTTCCATCTTCATTTACAATATCATATACAAATCTTATAACATTTTCAAACCAATCTTTATAAAAAATAAGGTTTTATGTTCTACCTTTATGTTATTGTTAAGCCAAATCAAATTGGACTAGCAAGAAAGCATTCCCAACTGTCATTTTCAACTTTTTCTCTGAGACGTTGCCATGCTTCCAGAACATCTTTCCAAAATTTATTCTTGATATTTTGTTGTAATCTTTGTATATATATATATATATATACACTTCCACAACCAAAAAAATTTGCAATTTCTACATGTACATTTGACAAAAAAACATTCTGCCATTTGTCGTTTGTTTTAAATAATCTCTTTATCCATGTACATTTCAGTGCTAAAATAAATGCACTAAGATTTATCATTTTGAGTCCAACATCTTCAATATCATTTTGTAAAACATTCTTTATTCTATTGATTGTTGAATTCCATATAAAATTGTACATAAATTCAATAAATTTTTTAAAAATATCATCACTTGGATTTGGTAAGGATATAAACAAATGATTTAAAATATGCAATATCAATGTCTTCACAACAGTAATTCTACCAATAACAGTAAGACTTCGTTTTGACCACTGTTTAATTTCACATTTTACTTGTACAATTTTTTCATCATAATTAATTTTTACAATTCTATCAAGATTAACACCAAAGCTTAATTCTAATAACTTAAAATATGTTTCTCCCCATGAAAGGTTTCTATTGTGGCACAACACCTCATTACTATATTTTTTATTTCCAATCCAACTAAAAGAACAGAGTTCAAATGTCCCCCGCGTTGCACAAATTTTATCTATCCAATGAAGGCTTCAGAGAAAATGCAATACGATTTCCGTTATAATTAATTTTTCCGAGGGCATAACTCGTTAAAATTATTTGATCAGCACTTATTTTCGAAAGTGTTAAAGTCATTGCTGATATAAACATATGATATATGTTTCATAAAATTCTGACAAGAATTGTACACATGAGAGCGCTAACAATGTTATTTTCCATATAATCAATATTTCCAAGGAACACAACTCTTTTAAAAATAATTGATCGGCACTGATTTTCAAATTTGTCTGAGACATTGATGATATAAACCTATAATGTAAATTAATAAAAATCTGGCAAGAATTGTACACATGAGAGTGCTAACAATGCAATTTTCCATATAATCAATATTTCAAAGGGCATAACTCTTATAAAAATAACTGATCAGTACTGATTTTCAAACTCGTCAAAGACATTGCTGATATAAACCTATGATATACGTTTCGTAAAATTCTGGCAAGAATTGTACACATGAGAGCTCTAATATTGCTATTTTCCATATAATCAATATTTCCGAGGGCATAACTCTTTTAAAAATAATTGATCGGCACCGATTGTCGAACTTGTCCAAGACATTGCTGATATAAAACCTATGATATAAGTTTCATAAAAATCTGGCAAGAATTGTACACATGAGAGCGCTAACGATGCAATTTTCCATATTATTAATGTTTCCAAGGGCATAACTCTTTTAAAAATATTTCATAGAAAACATATATTCTTTGAATCAGTTTGCAGAAAGCTATCATTTTTACACAGTCCATTTTCTAAACACGAAAACGCTAATTATCCCCTTATTCAACATGTTAAAGGCAAAAGTTTATAGAAACCATATATATTTGAAATTAGTGTAAGAATCCTATCATTTGACATTTGAAGTGACTTTGAGTAAGCCAGAAGTTGCTACTTATTCCAATATTTTATTAAAAAGTACTGCGAACTATATATTTTAATTAATCAGCTAGATTCTGACACAAGGAGTAACTTTTGAATTAGAAATCTTATTTTTCACCAATATTTTCTTCAAACTGGAAAAAGCAAATTATCTCCCTTTTCCAAAAGAAAGGAATACAGAAAACTTTTATTTCGGAATTAGTGTGCAGAAAGCTATACTGTTACACAGTTGGGCCATTTTCTTAACCTGAAGAATCAAATTATCCCCTTTATTTACCTACCTAAGTCAAAACATTGTGGAAACCATATATATTTGGAATTAGTGTAGAAAATCTATCAATTGACATTTGGAGTAACTTGCAGTAAGCAAGACTTGCTACTTATTCCAATATTCCATTAAAAGTACCATTTTTGGGAATCAATTAGCTTCTGACACCAGGAGTAAACTTTAATTAGTAATTTCTATTTTTCACATATATTTTTTTCATCAATTAATGATAATTCAACGATAGAAAGACCGTTCAATTGTTCTCTGAAATGGTTAATTATTGCTAATCATAGTAAATTTTATTAAACATAATTATCTATACTGACTGAACTATAAATGTAATAAGACACAAAAACATTATTGTTATTGAAGGATGATATAGGTATGTAATTATGAATGTGGGCTTTTCACACAAAGTCATGTTTTTCTCTGACTGTTTATGACGTCTTTACACTTAATCCATTGGATGTTGGATGTGTACGGATTGATAATTTAGTCTTAGATGCCTGATTTTTTTTATTAGTTGTAAGTAACTGCGAGTACTCTAAGATCTGTACTTAGTGTCTTTTTGTTGTTTGGATGTACAAGTACCCGGCCACGTCCACTTGTATTTGTAGTCTTTGTTTTTTTATCCATCTGATGAGTTAAGCCTCTTTCAACTGATTTTTATAGTTCGTTCTTATGTTGTACTGTTACACCACTGTCCATTCTGTTTGTATGTGCCTGTCCCAAGTCAGGAGCCTGTAATTCAGTGGTTGTCGTTTGTTTATGTGTTACATATTTGTTTTTCGTTCATTTTCTGTACATAAATTAGGCCGTTAGTTTTCTCGTTTGAATTGTTTTACATTGTCATTTCGGGGCCTTTTATAGCTGACTGTGTGGTATGGGCTTTGCTCATTGTTGAAGGCCGTACGGTGACCTATAGTTGTTAATTTCTGTGTCATTTGGTCTCTTGTGGAGAGTTGTCTCATTTGTAATCATACCACATCTTCTTTTTTATATTTTGTCCAAGGGGACTTTTGTCTTCGGGGCTCCTATGTGGGAGCTTTTGTCTATGAGCTTTTTTGTCCAGGGGCTTTTGTCCTGGACCCTATATTAAAAACAAATACAATATATATTGTATAGGTTGCTGTAGATTCATTATTATCCGTGGGATACCAATTTCCGTTGATTACGTGGGTTTAGTTGAACCATGAATTAAAATTTTCAACGAAGTACAAATTTTCTATAAGCTTGTATGCAGACTTTGGAAAAACCACGAAAATCAAATATCAACGAACATGCAATTTTCCCTTCATTCCTGAAATTGGTACACATGAAAATGAATGAATCCACAGTATTCACTCATGTTATAGAGGCTCGGGTAAGATACAAGTATTTGATGGTATTTCAAATAACGAATGTACCGATTTCAATAAAACATGAAATAAAAAGGATATGTTTTTTTCTTACCAGCCATAGAGCCAAATACCACAACACAATCTTCACAATGTGGAATGTCTATTGTCTCCAGTTTTGTCTCAGGTTCAGCATCTTCATCACAGTTTTGATTCTCTTTTGTCTCAGATTCAGCATCTTTGTCACAATGTGGAATCTCATTGGTCTCGTGTTCAGTATCTTCGTCACAATGTGGAATCTTCTTTGTCTCAAATTCAGTATCTGTGTCACAATATGGAATCTCTTTTTTCTCAAGTTCAGCATCTTCATCACAGTTTTGATTCTCTTTTATCTCAGGTTCAGCATCTTTGTCACAATGTGGCATCTCTTTTGTCTCAGGTTCAGCATCTTTGTCACAATGTGGCATCTCTTTTGTCTCCAGTTCAGAATCTTTATCACAATGCGAAATCTCTTTAATCTCAGGTTCAGCATCTTTGTCACAATGTGGCATCTCATTTGTCTCCAGTTCAGAATCTTTATCACAATGCGAAATCTCTTTAGTCTCAGCTTCAGGATCTATATCACAATGTGGAATCTCTATTGTCTCAGCTTCAGCATCTTTATTCGCATCATTTTCTTCCTCTTTTGGAGGCATATAGGCTTTTGCATCAGGTTGATCATAACCTTTTGATGTTTTAGAAGAGAAGGATGGCATATGGCCTACAGCATCTGGGTCACCAATACTCTTACTTTGTTGTTCTGGTGTTTGAACGCTTTTTGTTAATTTTAGTGACAACTTGAATCCGGTCTCTTTATTATCAAGTTCTGTATTTGTGGCTCTACTCCTACATGCCTGAAACAGATAAACCTTAATATAATTAATCTCTTCAACACAATCATTTACTGAATGAACTAATGGTATCAAGTATAAAGTTTCTGTTTTTGTTTCAAACATGTCAACCCGAACAATTATCATTCGGCAGAGCCCTGTAGAGCGCCTGCTTTTCCTGCTGTTAATGTACAAGTGTAATGTTGACTGTAAGAAGTAAGTCCACTTGTCAGTAATAACATAAACGGTACCAATTTTTCTGCACCAGATGGACATTTCGGCAATAAATTTCTCTTCAGTGATGCTAGAGGTCAAAATATTAAAAAATACACAACTTTATAAAGAGATCAAGAGCTTATAAACCAAAAAGACAACAAGTATAGCTGAAGCTGGGCAAGGAATAAAATTTTTGCATAAGGGAGATGTATTCCTTAATTTAGAATAATTTCCAGAAATTTGTAACAGCAAATTCTAATAACACAATATATGTATTTCCATGCCAGTACCAAAGTACTGCATGGCTACTTCTCTGGTGATACCCTCGAAACTAACATTCCACCATCATAGGTATCGACCCAGTGGAAGTAATAACACTAACAGTTCATAAAACACGGAAAAGCAAACTTTTTTTCTACAGATGCTGTTTCTTGATCTTGAAGATTTGCTTCTGTCCATGTTTCATAACAATGCATGAAGGTTTACAAATTTGTCAAATAAAACTTTAATCCTTTACTGCATGCAAATGTTAATTACAAATAAAATGCTTCGCCGAGCGCAGCCTGATACGACCGCAGAGGTCGAACCCTGAACAGTTGGAGCAAGTTTGGACACCATATTCAAGCTTGATACTGTCTGAATTTGGATTGTGATCAAATTTTTGACATAATATAGGTTTCTGACACAAAATAAATGTGATCAAAGATCTTAAAAATTTGAAATGGGACATTTAATTTACCTAGTATGGTCTGATATCAAAAATCTAACAACATGGTTAGATTCAGCATATAAAAAAACACCAAAAATTTAATTTAAGTTGCAATCAAACAAAGTTTAATTTTGGACCCTTCAAACCTTAATGTGGACTAATTTGAAAACAGGGCCCAAAATAAAAAATCTAAATGCACAATAAGATTCAGTATATCATAGAGCCGCAATAATTCAGTTTTTGATGAAATCAAACAAAGTTTAATTTTGGACCCTTTGGACCTCAATGTAGACCAATTTAAAAATGGGGCCCAGTATCCAAAATAGTAATACAAGGTAAGAACCCCCAAAAATTAAAGACTTAATTTAATCCCATTGAAATTGGTTAAAAGATTTGTATTTCTTTTCAATTGAAGATTTCTTGCTATTGCGCAATACTGGCAATAATTGAAAAAAAAATCCCTAATTCCTAAACTTTTGGTACCATTACCCCCAAAATCAATCCCAACCTTCCTTTTGTGGTATTGAACCTTCTGGTAAAATTTCATAGAGATCCATTTACTTAAACTAAAGTTATTGTCCGGAAACCAAATATGTCTTCGGATGATGCCCCAGCTTGCAAATAACGTTATAAAGGGACATAACTCTAGAATAGTAAAAGTGACTCCACCAAAATTCAAACTTGATCTGTGTTTTGTGGTAATATTAGCATTATGTATAAGATTCATAGCATTTTAATGAGGCAAACTAAAGTTAGAGAACGGAAACGAAAAATTCTGCAATTTTTCCATTTGTAAAGAGAACCGAAACTAATTTCGGTACGTCCAGACGTATGGACGTACCGACAGACGTACAGACGGACAAGGGTAAAACTTAATGCCCCCTCCACCTAGGTCTATATGAATCTTCAACAATGAATACTCTCCAACATTGTGGACTAGAATAGAATTCATGACAAAAATCTCTTTTTGTTGATCTTGTATTGCAGAACATTTTTGCTATTTACAGTGTCTATCTATGTATTATAGTTTTCAAGATAATAGACAAATGTCTAAAAATGTGTAAAAATAGTCATGTAAGGAGTCAATGGCCAATGTTGTCCATACGACTTATTCGTAGATCTTGTCTTGATGATCGTTTCTTATGTAAATTTTTATCTATCGTCATTGTCGTCGCCGTCAGAAAAGCAATACCTATGTCTCGCCTATGCCTAGGGAAATAACTCTTGTAGAAAGTTGTCGATGATTTCGGCCATTTTTACTTATTAGTAGATCTTGTCTTGCTGATCATTTTTGCTGCTCAAAGTTTCTCTGTATCTATTATAACTTTCAAGATAATACGCAACAATGGAAAAAATTGGTAAAATGTGTCCTTTAAGGATAATAACTCCTATAATAAATCATCTGACAGCTTTGATTGAAATGAACATTTCGATAGATCTCAACATTTTGAACATTTTCGCCTGTCAGATTTTTTGTATTTATAGCGGTATTCAAGATAATAGACAAAACATGCATTTCACCCTATGTTCTATTTTTATACGCCGTTTACGGAACGTTTTATGGTATACCGTTGTCCGTCCGTCCGTCCGTCCGACCGTCTGTCCGTCCGGTCGTCGTCGTCAACATGTCAGACAATAACTCAGAAACGCTTTAACCAATTTGCATGAAACTTTGGTGAATTGTTTATATCTATTGACGTGAGCTCCCTTTCGATTTTTATAAATTTTAGAATTTACGTTTCTGAGTTATGGGGTTTTATTCATTAAAAAGGGGGATTTTCCAGTTTTCGGACAATAACTCAAAAACACTTTAGATTTTACGTTTCCGAGTTATGGGGTTTTATTCATTAAAAAAGAGGGATTTTCCAGTTTTCGGACAATAACTCAAAAACACTTTAGATTTTACGTTTCCGAGTTATGGGGTTTTATTCATTAAAAAAGGGGGATTTTCCAGTTTTCGGACTAGAAATCAAAAATGCTTTGAGCAGTTTTCATGAAACTTTGGTAAATTGTTTATATCTATTGACGTAAGCTCCCTTTCGATTTTTTTTTATAAATTTTAGGTTTTACGTTTCCCAGTTATGGGATTTTATTCATAAAAAAGAGTTGGTTTTCCAGTTTTCGGACAATAACTCAAAAGTGGTTTGAACAGATTTCATGAAACTTTGGTGACTGGCTTATATCTATTTACATTACCTCCCTTTAGTTTTTTTTATAAATTTCTGATATGACATTGATGAGTTATGGAACTTCATTCTTTGAAAAAGCGATGGGCATATCATGCGCTCATGGCGCAGCTCTTTATTAGCCATGTCGGCCATGTTGGTTGGAGGGTAGGATAATGAAACACATTTTTTAAACTAGATAACCCAAAATGATGATTGTAACAAGTTTGTTAAATTGTGACCACGTAGTTTCAGAGGAGAAGATTTTTGTAAAAGTTAACGGCGACGATGGATTACAGATGCCAAGTGATGAGAAAAGCTTACTTGACCCTTTGAGCCAGGCGAGCTAAAAGTGACCTGATCGCTGATTTGGGTCATGTTCTCTTATTCATAGATCTTGTCTTGCTGATATGTTTACTTTTTAAATTTATATCCATCTATCATATATAGTTTAAAAAATAAAGCCAATGATGCAAAAAAAAAAAATCTTTCCCTACTTAAAGTTTCACTCTATTCATTATAGTTTTCAATTAAGATAATAGGCAAAAATGATGGAAAAAATGTAAAACTTGTTACTTAAAAGACAAAACTTGCATTTTACCCCCTATGTTCTACTTTCTATCAAAAGAAACAATTTGAAAACCTTTATGAAATTGACCATTACTTTTATTATAGATATATAATTGAGTTAATCAGCAGATTGAATGTGGCTGCAATCACCAGAAGAAAGGATTCAAACGTTATTGTAGATAAGTTTATACTGATATCGGATGGTGTTTACACAGAAAATGGAGGTGAAGGTAATAAAATTGAGAATGGAAATGGGGAATGTGTCAAAGAGACAACAACCCTACCAAATAGCAGAAAACAGCCGAAGGCCACCAATGGGTCTTCAACACAGCGAGAAAATCCCGCACCCGGAGGCGGGCTTCAGCTGGCCCCTAAACAACAATGTGCACTAGTTCCGTGAAAATGGACATCATACTAAACTCCAAAACATATAAATGAACTAAAATTAAAAATCATACAACACTAACAAAGGCCAGAGGCTCCTGACTTGGGACAGGCGCAAAAATGCGGCTGGGTTATATATGTTTTGTGAGATCTCAACCCTTTCCCTATACCTGTAGCCAATGTAGAAACACAAACACACAGCAATACACAGATATTTCGAGGCATGGCAGAAATTTTTAAGATGTTAGTGAAAAAAACAGTCCATGGTCCAATAGAGTAGCGGAAAGACACAATGCAGCTCTTGCAGAAACAACAAAAAAAAAAGAGAAAGAGCTCTAACTTTTCATGGGAGACTGCAATCAGTTAAGCAGTTCATATTAAGAACAGTATTTTGGTGGTTAAATAGTCCATATCAAATAGTTAATGGAAGGATTCCAAACATACCATCATCTATTTTGTTAATAAGCCTCCTGCATTAGAAGGTAAAACAAATAGGTTATGGGAAAGCATTAAGCTGACTAGCATGACGCTAAAATTGTTTTATAGTAGCAGATTTCCCTAGGAAAGTAAGAAGGGCACTACATAGGTAAAGCAGACCTTCATTAGAAAAATTCAAAAATAGTTTTCTTCCTTCGTGACAATCAGTGGAACGGACCTGACTGGGTTAAAAGTGAAGACAATGTAGTTGTTTTTCTTAGATATGGAGAAGCAAGTGTGCGAGTACATGAAAATAGAATTAAAAGAGACATTGATGTTGGAAGAAAACAAAAGTTTTTTACACGTAAATATACAGCAAAGTAAACTCCATGAGATTGATGAAGAAGAACCTCACCATAATGATACTGACAATGGTGAGAGCCAAGAAAATGGTGAAAACTTGCAGGTTAGAGTATTGCTGACAGTTTGGAAAATATGGAACATAATGATGATCATGTGTCACAAGCAAAAAGCAAAAAATTCCAGGTGAAAATGAAGCAAAA